TATTAAATGAACATTCACTTTGATAAGGATCCAAAAGTAAGGATCGAAACGTATGTACACATCTACAATAAACTTTTTTCTATTTCACACCGACATCCAGTGCATTGACTCGACTAGGCATTATTATTTCTTCTTTGATTTTTATCTCACGAGTCTATATAATTAATAATTTATTATAATTTAATAAGAATTCTTTTAAAATTAATATTGATCTTTTGTGGTTCATTTTTAAAATATAAAAAACTGTTATTATGATCACATAGAACACTATATTTGATTCAAGATTTTGGAGTACATAAGAATTCTTTTGAAATTAATATTGATCTTATGTGATTCATTTTTGAAATCTAAAAAACTGTTATTTCTATCTCTCACCTAGAACACTGTATTTGATTCAAGAGTTTGGAGCACATGTGTGTGAGTTAACCAGTTTTCAATCACGTGTATCTTCATAAGTATACATTTACAAATTATTATTATAATTAATAACTAATATTGTGAAGATACATTATTACCATGAAAAATGACTCATATACTATTGAAGGTGCCAGTTCAAAGTAAACATACATAAAGTGTATATTCTTTTGTTGCATATATACGAAATAATAATGATTTAACATTATTATTATAAACATCTAGTGTGCATGTGTTGTTAAATCATTATTACGTATATATGCAACAAAAGGACATACATTTTATGAATGTTCACTTTGAACTAGCACCTTCAATGATATATCAGTTTGTTTTCTAACGTCGAAAGTGTCGGCTGCATTGCATTACCTTCAGAATTTAATGTACCTTTATTATTGTAATGTACTACTGCGCTTGTCAACTACATATTTTGATACCACTCTTATTTAGGGCAACATTATTGTCGACAAGCTTTACATTAGTCACATCCAAGATTATAGCACTGGCATCAAGAACTTTCAATGTACTCGGATCTCTCTAATATCTTTGCATTATTATGGTATTTCTTCTTCCAAATTGAACACCATTTTGATCAATTACTTCTAAATTGTGTACCTGCAAAATATATAAATAATTTAAATAATTTCAATCATTTTTTTCAGAAATTACGTTTATTAGAGTATTTGATTATATGTAATAAATTTTATTAGTATAATGTTATTACGAAATTGATTATCAGAACAATCTTTCTTCACGATATTAATTATTAATTAGAATAATAATTTGTAAACATATACTTATGAAGATATACGTGATTGAAAACTAGTTAACTTACACTCCAAAATCTTGAATCAAATATAGTGTTCTAGGTGACAGATTAAACTATAACAGTTTTTTATTTTTTAAAAATAAATCACAAAAAACATCAATATTAATTTTAAAAGAATTCTTATACCAAATTGTCTATTTTAACGCAATACATTTTATTATTGGAAGATAATGAAATGTTACATATTACCATGGAAAATGACTCATATATTACTGAAGTTGCTAATTCATAGTAAACATACATAAAATGTATATTCTTTTGTTGCATATATACATAATAAATAATTACGGCAAAGGAAATATTTATTCATTCTCACTTACGTGTTCCTTTGTGCCAGCGATGACAGATTTCCTTACCTGAATAAACCAAAACAAATTCTCTGCTTTAATTACACAAACGAAAATAATGGGTGGACAAACGTGGACAAACAGTGGACAAACGAATGCAATAATGATTTTACCAATATTCGCATTTACAGATTCCAACTTTACAGAGCTGCTTTATGAAGTTGGCACCCCTAAATGCGAATATTGATAAAATCATTATTGCATTCGTTTGTCCACTGTTTGTCCACGTTTATCCACCCGTTATTTTCATTTGTCCACCCTCCAAAAAAAAAGTTATACACAAAAAAAGATTGTAACATCCCCCAAGTGATTATTTTTCGAGTTCGTATCGATTGCTTGAGAATTCATTTTACTAAATTAATGATTTTTTCGAAAAAATACGAATGAAAAATTCGTACAAAAAAAACGAAGAACAACTGAATAAGATTAAAAGAAGACGAAAATCATCATCTTCATGACTATTTCAAGAAGTGGGGAAAAATAAAAAAATACGAAAATCAATAATTTAAAATGAAGACAGTTAATTAAAACTAACGGAGAAAAAGGAAAAAACAAATAATAATCTCATAAATTAGACAAATCCGGAAAAAAATTTTAAGGATGTATAAATGCTTAAATTTTTTAAAAAATTAAGTAAAGAAAGAACCTACGTTGTAATTTTAGGGGGATTAACAAACCAGTTTGGTCTTTTCCAGAATTGTTTATGTATCTCCAATAATTCTGAATTGCGCGCGTAGCGCGCGCAGGAAAAGGCTAGTTAAAAAAATAAAGCTCGACAGCGTTATCTTGTGATTTATATGTAGAAAGAGTGTACCAAATTTTAAAACGATCGGTGCAATAGATTTTGAGTTACAGTGTGCACCGACTTGGAAAATGCTAAGTGTGACAAAAACGCTTTAAAGTTTTGTACAGTAGAAATGACCGAGTGTTTTGTCTATACTTACACAGAGTCATCGATGTATCTTGTATATTATTTGCTCTGCACATTGCTTCTTTCTCTTCGTTTACAACAGAAGAAAAAAGTTATTCGTACACGAAACAGCTGCTAGGCAACCGCTTCGCCCAGCTACTGGGCAGGTATACGAAATCGAGTCGGAGCAACGGACACTTAAAATTCCATATCTCCGTTAATTTTACTCCGATCGGCTTCAAATTTTCACACAATAATCTTGAGACATTGTACATTCAGATAAAAAAATTTAAAAAAAATGGTCAAAAAAAATTAAAATGTCTTACCCCCCTTAACGTAAGGGATTGTGAAGTATCTATCTTTGACATGAATATTATGTATATTGTGTTTATTGTGAATATGATATTTTATTCTTTGTTCTATGGTAGAAAAAATGAACGAAAGAGTATAGGAATTGTTTAAAAAGATTTTTATGGCTTCTATCAAATTATTTTGTTGGAACCGAGGATGTGAAATATGGAAAATTTTATCAATAAAACTAATAATAATAATAATGCCTTTTTTGTGATTAAAGGATGGTTTGAGTGGAAATTAAGGAACCTACCTGAGAATGTCTTTTTGTGAAAATTGTCAAATATAATTCTACAATTGTCGATAATAAGAGTAGTGTCAAGAAAATTTAATCTGTTGTCACTGCCAATCTCCATAGTAAACTGTAATCTTACATGTAAAGAATTAAAGGTATTAAGTGTATCATTAATATTGTCAGAAGGAATTGCCAGAATAATATCATCGATATATCTGTAATAGAACAGTGGTTGTACCGACAAACAATTAATTGCTAATTTTTTCAAATCCTGCATTACAATGTCTGCTATAATTGGTGATAGCGGTGAACCCATTGGAGTGCCAAAAACTTGTTTGTAATATTTACTATTGAAAGTGAAAAAAGTAAAATTTAAGACAAGGTTAATTGCCATATGAAATTCATTTTTAGGAATCTTTGTGCCCAATGAAATATGAGCCCATCTCTTTTCAATGCCATCTGTGACAAGATTGAATGGAATATTGATAAAAAGGGAAACAACATCTAATGAAGCCAATACATATTGAGAGTCAAAGTGAGTACCACTCAGTTTATCAACTAAGTGGAAACTATCTTTGATGTGGCTAGGAGCTAGTGGTATGTTATCATTTATAATGTTATGTAAGGAAAGGGAAAGGTAATACAAAGGACTGTTAATAGAGGAAACAATAACTATCAGTGGGTTACCATCTTTGTGGATTTTAGTCAAGCCATAAGCTCTCGGTATAATACCATCAGTTGTGAGTAATTTTCGGTATGTTTGTTCATCAATACAACCAGCGCTCTTCCATCTAACAAGTAATGTACGTAAGTTTTGAGTTAACATTTTAGTTGGATCTTTATTAATAATTTCATAAGTGTTGGTGTTTGACAGAATCTCCTCCATCTTTGATATATAAGTATCTTTTTCTAGTATAACAGTGACATTCCCTTTGTCACTTGTCAGCATTGATTATAAGAATGATTGGATAGTCTTTAATGAATTTTTTTGTAAAGTGTAACCATTCTAGGATATTTTTATCAATGAAACTTGGAGAGGGAAAATTATTGTGGAACCTATTAAGGATGGGAATGGAATTATTTCTGACAAAATTAATAATGTTATTCGGACGACCAGTAACATTGCTTTCAATATGTTTAATGAATTCCACTATAGTTTTTTATTTATTATCGTTATTAATAGGAAGACCGAATATTTACATTATTTTATGATATTTTTATTACTAATGTTGTATTAGATTACTTATACGATTTGAAATTTCTTTATATTTTGTATTATTATTTTTTTACTTTTATTACATTTCTGATGTGTTTTCGACAGAAACAATTATTTCACTAACCACATGATATACAGGGAGGGGCATTGTTCGGGCCGTTGCTAAAACGACACCGCGAATTGAGTGGGAAGAAAATGATAGGAACTCGTACTGTGGTAATTGACTTATTATTATTCACACTGCGTATTTATTCTTAATGCTAAGAAGACTCTGTCTTTTCTTCACGGTTGTACAAAAGTGTAATGTAACCTTCCTTACGTACTTACATTAATGCCAACATAAAGTTTTAGCGCAACGCGCGCCATACCGCCAGTAACTCCGCTCATAGAAACGCGCGCATCAGACTTAACATCCTGCCCCCCTTGGAAGGCATGCGTCTTACAACAAATAAAATAAAGAAACAAATGACTCTGATCTCAATGCAACTGCAATACATATTTCTAATTCTTAATCTTAACCTACGTAACGCTATATAATACTTATTTATTAAACAAAAAATGAATCACACTGAATTACATGTCTCCCCTTCTTCAATGGGTAATACACAAATTTTAGTTATCGCTCGCTTACATTCTCCATGACTGGTTCGTACAGTAACTACTCTCACGATCCCATCAATACCCGGATGTGTTTCGGTAATTCAACCCAAAGGCCACGCCATAGGAGGCGAATTTTCCCCTTTTAAAATGACTATCATCCCCGGATTTAACACTATAGGCTTGGATTGTTTCCACTTATTACGTTGTTGTAGTTGCGTAATATATTCGGTCAACCATCTTGTCCAAAAATGCTGTCCTATTTGTTCGAGCAACTGATAACGAGTTAATCTATTTTGATGCACATCACTAACGTCTTGTTGAGGAATAGAAGTCAACGCGTCTCCAATGAGGAAATGTCCCGGTGTCAGTGGATGCAAATCAGTTGGGTCATCCGACAATGGTGTGAGCTTGAGTTTAAGCACGACTCTATCTGAGTCATTTGTAGTATACAACTGCTCAAAGCTTAACGCTCTTGTACCAATAATCTTACGCATGTGAGTCTTTGCTGATTTAACAGCTGCTTCCCATATTCCCCCCATGTGTGGAGAATATGGAGAGATAAATTTCCAGTTAATAAATTGCTCTGTACAATACTCTTTAATTGATTTCTGTGTCGATTGATCTGTGAGGTGCCTCTTGAGTTCTAGAAGCTGATTATTTGCACCCACAAATGTGGTACCATTATCCGAATACAAATTGTTACATTTGCCTCTTCTAGCTATGAAGCGCTTTATTGCGTTAAAAAATGACGCTGCGGTCAGATCAGATACCAACTCAAAATGCACGGCCTTTGTGACTAAACACACGAAAATAGATAAGTAAACATTTGCTCGTTTTATTTCGCGTTACCTTTATAGTAAAAGGACCGGCATAATCTAATCCAGTATTCAAAAATGCTCGAGCTTGCGTTATTCGTACTGCAGGCAAATCTCCCATCAACTGATTTGCACTCATCGGTTTCACACGAAAACATACAATACAACTCTTTAATACACGACGAATAGCTTGTTTACCCGAAATTGGCCAGTATCTATTACGAATCATCGCCAGCATCGCTTGTGGCCCGGCATGTAAATTCCTATAATGAATGTCCTTAATAATTAAATTAGTAAGATGATGTTTGTTCGGTAAAACGATAGGATGTTTTTGCGTGTATTCTATAGAAGCATTACTCAGTCTTCCTCCCACACGAATGATACCCTCATTATCTAAAAAAGGATGTAAGTTCAATAGTTTGCTTTTATTATGCAATTGAGTTTTATTCTAAAGCCTGTGTAACTTCTCAGGAAAACCCTCTAATTGGCACCTTTTGATAAGTACCTTCAACACTTGCTCTATTTCCTGCACATCTAAAGATCCCTTTCGTGGTGTACGTTTTAACATATTGTCTTTAAAACGTAGGCAATACGCGATTACATGTATAAATCGTGCCAATGATGAGAAGCGACTTATAATGTTTAAATAGTCATTGTCTTTCTTCCGATTCAACAAATTGATTGTCCGTTCCTCAATGTGTTCTTGAACATCCTCACTCTTAAAAGGTCGAAATGTTGAGTTTTCGTACAGAAATTGGGGACCTTCCCACCATATTGTTCGATCCTTCAACTTCTCTGAACTTACTCCTCTTGACAATATATCCGCAGGGTTATCTTCCGATCTCACGTGGCACCAACGAGCTCCTACTGAGTCACTTTGTATTTTGGTTACCCTATTCGCTACAAATGTCTTCCAACGTTTGACCTCTCCGAAAACCCATGATAAAACTATAGTTGAATCACACCAATAATATACTTGATCAATGCGAATTGTTAGTGCCCGCAAGATGATTTTGCCTAAATTGGCTAACAACATTGCTCCACATAATTCTAGTCTTGGCAGCGACAATGATTTTATTGGAGCTACCCGCGACTTTGCGCAGATCAATCTGACTAGATACTTTCCTTGTGGTGTAGTGCTCCTAATATATATGCACGCGCCATATGCGGCCTCCGATGCATCGCTGAATCCGTGTATCTCAATTCTACTGGGCTCATCGCATAAAATTTTTCTAGGAATTGCAAACTGTTCCACGTTTCTGATCTGCGAGTCCCATTGGACCTACATCTTCTTTATCTCTTCCGGCACTTCATCATCCCAACCGATTTTTGAACGCCAAAGATGCTGCATCAAGATTTTAACCAGTATTACTATAGGTCCTAATAATCCGAGTGGGTCATAGATTTGTGCGATGTTAGTCAATATTCTGCGCTTCGTGATCTTTTGGTCAGGGTTCGTCATTTTAACCTTATATTGTAGAGTATCACTAGCCGTACTCCACCATAATCCTAATATTTTTGTGGATTCACTTAGTTGAACCTCTCTCTCGCTAAAAACTTGTTGATAATTTTCCGGAACATTCAATGTCCATTTTCTAAGCTCAAATTTAGCAGCTACAAGCGCAAGGCTAATTCTTTTCTTCAGTTGCATAAGCGCTTCAACTGACTCAGCTCCCGTTAATAAGTCGTCGACATAAAAGTCTCGCCTTATTATTTCACTTACTTCTTCATCAACTGCTGCTGATTCTTGCGCGACTTTCTGAAGACATCTAATTGCTAAGAAAGGAGAGCTTGACATGCCATATGTTACGGTGTTGAGTTCAAAAATTCGTATAGACTCTTCCTTATTCCACCTCCAAAGGATACGTTGTAACTTGCAATCTTCTGTTCTTACTTTAATCTGTCTATACATTTTCTCAACATCAGCAGCCATGGCAAATTTGTGTTGCCTCGCACGTGTAATTATTTCAAATAGATTCTCTTGAAATCACAATATCCTTGAGGCAATAGGAGTCCACCGCTGGATGTAAGGTTGCGAATAATTTTCAATATTAGTTTTCTCTTACGTACGTTTCGACTTTATTTTTTAAGTCATCTTCAGCAATATCAATTAATTATAAACGCTTTCGGATTCTCTTGAATAATTGGTCCTACCAAGAGTAGGTCATTAAGTGATTTCCCCGATGTTGTTTTAAACGATGCATCAAAGACAACTCTTGTCTTTGTCGTGGTACTTTCTTCCTTTATCGCAGCATGATGCGGAATGTAGTATGCTCCATCAGTGTGAATATTGCTTGATTGTATTTCGGTCATATGACCCAATTGTATATATTCCTTTAAAAATTCATGATAGTGTTCTTTTAAGACTGGTTGTTTTTCCAATCTTCGCTCTAACGCTCTTAGGCGTTTTTCCGCACCCTTATAAGAATCTTCTAGTTCCTCTATGGAATTCTTTACCGGCAGATGCAATACAAAGCGGCCGTCTTCTTCTCTGCTAAACGTAGAACCGAAATGCTCCTCGCATTGTTTTTCTTCGCTGGACCTAAGCGTTTCTTGTTCCATATTTTCAATCTTCCAGAGATTTTCTAATTGTTGATGGAGCGTGGTGTCAGTTGATGTTCCACAAAAAATGCATTAGTGGTTGGCTTCAATTTATTACTTGAAAAGGTTCCTGAAATTATCCATCCAAATAGTGTATCTTGAAACACCGGTGCGTGCTGTGCCAGTCAGATTTGCTGATGACCCATGAGATCCCAAAAGACTGCAGCTCCTAGTAATACGTCTACATTATCCGGAAGGAAATATGTAGGATCGGTTAATTCAATTCCGGATGGTATGTCGAATATACCTTCGTCTATTTTCATCATTGGCAATCGTTCTGTTATTCTATCGATTATTAAGAAAGGAATCTCTATTTGAAAAGAGCTCACACGTGATTTAACTATTGCACTAGTTTTTTTAACAGCATTTATTAGACTATGATTAATACCAATAATTTAAGTATTAATAGACTCTTTTTTCAACTGTAGTTGTGTACTCAGTTCCTTCGTAATGAAGTTAGACTGAGAGTGAGATCCACTGTCTAATAAAGCTCGACATTCATGTGGGATTCCGTTACAATCATAAATATTAATTCTAGCTGTAGCTAAAAGTACTTGTGGGTTTCCCCGAACGCTGCAATGATTGAGCACTGCTGACGTTGAACTTACGTTCGAAACAATGGTAGATTGAGTCGCCTGTTTATTTTCGATTGATGCTTGTTCTTTACTTTTATCAACATTTACATTATTATTTGCCTCAATCCTATGTAACAGCGTGTTGTGATAACCCCCGCATGTCTTACAGTTTAATGCTTTACAATTTCGACCATGAAAAGATTCAAAACATTTTATGCACAAACGCCTTTTCTTTATTTCTAATGCTCTCTCAGATGGAGACATACTGAGAAATTGTTGACATTCATACAACTTATGATCCTTTGTGCATAGCACGCAAGATGAACTACCCGCAGCTACATAGGCTTGAGTTACATTTTTTTGTTATCCCGTACTTGATTTACCACTGTTTTTATTACCTATAACGTTCTGCGTATTTTGATTCGCTCGATGTACAGCTTCTAGAAAAGCGCTGCGGTTGACAAGAAAATCCATGAAATCAGTCATTGTAGGAAATTCTTCCATTTCAGCTCGTTTCGTTTCCCAATCTCTACGAGAAGCCTTGTCGATCTTTGACAAAATTATGTGTATCATAACGGTGCTCCAACTATTCACAGGTTGTTCGAGTTTCATCAAAGACTGTGTATATTGCGAAACATTATCCACCAATTGACGAAGCTCTGTGCATGATTCCCTAGAAATAACCGGTAAATCAAGTAACATTCGAATGAGATACTGTACTATTAATCTTTTGATCTCAAACCTTTGTTTTAATAAATTCCATACTAATGCGTAATTGTCGCTTGTTATTTCTACTGAACTAATTACTTTCGCAGCTTCACCTGTTAGGGCGAATCTTAGATAATGCAATTTTTGTACATTAGGTAATGCGTCGTTAGATGCAATAAGAGATTCAAATAAATCGCGGAAAGGTATCCAACGCTCATAATTTCCGTCAAATTTTGGTAGATCAATGTTCGGTAATTTCACAACCGGCCGTACAGTAAATTGTCCTTGAACCGCGGATTGTAGGTTAGGAGATACGCTCTGCCCTGGCCGCGATTGTTCTATCACGCACATCTTACGAGCCTTAGTAACTACCTCGTGATATGCATCTTCGAAAGCAACTCTTTCTGACTCTTGCTCATCTGAATCATCCAAATCAAGAATTTTATTCTGCACTACCTCAAATTCCATCCATAGTTGCTCGACCTTTTCTAATCTACTTGGCAGTTCCGCTCGCTTATCGAGATCCTCGTCGATTTCAACTAGAAAACTATTAAAACGAGTGAGTTTTGCTTTGACTCGACCGCGTTGTTTTACTAATTGTGATATTTCTTCCATAATCTCTATTCTATAGTTTCTTACGCGAACAGTCTATAAATATAATGACTCGACTTATTACATCTTATAACTACGTATTTTGATACTTCAAGAGTGTAGCTTATCTTGCAAAGATGCCGCTTCTATGCCTCGGATGTGCCTCGATTGTCAGTAGACCTCTTGCGTGATCTGAATCTTCACCTGTGGCCAACTGCTCGTTCTATTCGGATGCTCGTTGAAATATAATTCGAATGTATGCCGCCTCTCTGGTAGCGAGAGCGAGAGAGAGAAAGAGAGACAGCCGATGCGTGGATAAAGTAAGATGATAATGGCTGCTCAGACTCTCTTGTTAGCGCCAAGGAGAAATTAATAACCGGCGATTCTTTATCAAGACGACAATATTTCTTATTGTGCCGTGTAATGAGGAATACCCACGTTAATTTCCGATAGGACACGTGATTCAGGCCGTCTTCTGCCTTTTTACGCTCGTGCTGACGGTTACGATTCCAAGTACCTTCCAATGGCGGTTGTTGCGGACAGACCCTGTGTTCGCCTAATCCGGCTCGAAGGACCAATGTTCGGGCCGTTGCCAAAACGACACCGCAAATTGAGTGGGAAGAAAATGATAGGAACTCGTACTGTGGTAATTGACTTATTATTATCCAAACTGCGTATTTATTTTTAATGCTAAGAAGACTCTGTCTTTTCTCCACGGTTGTACAAAAGTGTAATGTAACCTTCCTTACGTGCTTACATTAGTGCCAACATAAAGTTTTAACGCAACGAGCGCCATACCGCCAGTAACTCCGCTCACAGAAACGCGAGCATCAGATTTAACAGGCATTTAAAACAGGTCACCTGAATAACTCGCTTGTTTTTGGCAATAGAAGAAAAAGTGTCAAACAAAAGTTGCTTGGTTTCGAGGGGCACATAATGTGATGTCAATAATTGTTTTTTTGGTGGAGGCGCTAAAAAGATATGAAGGTCACCTCCACTTTTTTAAATGGAATTATGTAATTTTTTTTAGATAACCCGATTCCTCTAATTATTTTGCATATAAAAGTATTAAGGTAGTGATACCAAAAAACCAATAGTTTTCGAGATATTTTACACTTTATTTTGATACATATTGACACAAAATGTTAAATAACTCGTAAACTGTTGACTTTTTGATTATCGTACCTTAATACTTTTGTGAACAGAATAATGAGATAAATCAAATGGTGTAAAGAAAACCCATAGTTGCTTTAAAAAAAATATGTATACAAAATGGATAATTTGTTAAATACGCAACTATGTGTTTTCTTTACACCATTTGATTTATCTCATTATTCTGTTCACAAAAGTATTAAGGTACAACAACCAAAAGTCAACAGTTTACGAGTTATTTAACATTTTGTGTCAATATGTATCAAAATAAAGTGTAAAATATTTCGAAAACTATTGGTTTTTTGGTATCTCTACCTTAATACTTTTATATGCAAAATAATTAGTGGAATCACGTTATCTAAAAAAAATTACATAATTCCATTTAAAAAAGTGGAGGTGACCTTTATATCTTTTTAGCGCCTCGACCAAAAAAACAATTATTGACATCACATTATGTGCACCTCGAAACCAAGCAACTTTTGTTGACACTTTTTCTTTTATTGTCAAAAACAAGCGAGTTATTCAGGTGACCTGTTTTAAATGCTCCTCCCTGTATAATAATGGACGATTTGCGTTATTTTTGTGGACTCTTGCTGACGTTCAGAAATGCGTTTCAATGTGAGTGAGACTTACATACAATTTACATTATATGTATATTTTTATATTTTTATTTTTATACATATTTTATGTTTTTATGATATCCGTATATCGTTAACGATTCTCGCGACTTTTTAAACATTGATAATGACCTAACAAAGGTCGAAACGTTTGTTTTTATTAATTTTATATATTTTTATGTTTATATTAAACTTTATATATTTTTAACAAAATGACATAATTAATTTACCAATATTACAATTCAACGAATTTTTAGGCTCGTAGCTCTGTTTCTTTTTATTATTTTTTAAATTTATTGAGCCTTATTATTATTATATATACATATAGTAATACATTTTATTGTGGTGGCCGTAGCGCACTGTCAAAGTATTTGCCTCCCGTGCCAAAGATCCAGAGTTCAAATCCAGCTAGAATTCTTATAAATAAAATAAAAATAATAACAAACAAAAACGACCGGTTGCTCCGGCCGACCGATAGTCAGTATAACTCTGACGGCTGGATAGGATTCTGTGGGCCAATCACCCGCAAACCCGAAACAAGCTGATTCGAGAAACGGATACGAGCCTCGGATATCGGACGGATACAACGGAAATGAACCTTAGCTATCAAAAAGGTATACTAATTGGCACATGGAACATCCGGACATTGGCACAGGCATCCCGTTTGGCACAACTAAGCAGAGAAATGACACGCTGTAAAATTAAGATCCTCGGTCTCAGCGAAGTGTGGTGGAAGAACAGCGGGGACATAACAACGTCAGATAATCACTACATGATATACTCGGGCAATTCAACTACACACATTAATGGAGTTGGAATAGTTATATCCACTAAAATTAAAAAATCATTAATGGAGTGGAATCCAATCTCCGATTGATTAATAACCGCTCGTTTCCGAGCCACAAATCGCAATATAACAATCATTCAATGCTATGCATCAACGGAAGTAGCAGACGACAGCGAAAAAGATCATTTCTACAACCAACTGCAGTCCACAATCGTCTCACCGCACAAAAGAGACATCAAACTTGTCATGGGTGACTTCAACGGGAAAATCGGCAATAATAATAACAACCTCGATGAAATAATGGGCCGCCATGGATTTGGAGAAGCACGCAATAACAATGGCGAGCGATTAATTGATCTCTGCATGGCCAACCGACTCTTCATCGGCAGCACGCGATTCCCGCACAAGGACATTCATAAATATACCTGGCAAGCACCAGACGGAGTAACACGTAACCAGATCGACCACGTGCTAATTGACAAGAAACACCTGAAGTCTCTTCTAGATGTTCGAACAATACATAGTGCAGAC